CGGTGTGGGCGCAACACCGAGGGTTGCGATCCCGTTACCGGTCAGTAAAAAAGACAAAACGAAAAAAAAAAAAATCAATGGCATATAAATATCTAATTTTTAAACATAACATTTAAAAATATTAAAATATTTAGTATAAATAAGTAAAACTTAAACTTTTGAGATTAAGTTGAGACTTTAATTGTAGGCATTGGATAAACCAATTTCTTTACTGTAAGAAGAGCTACAATCAATTCAAAACAGACAACCTAATCCTGCTCTTCCACTTCAGATGTATAACCAACAGAAATGTGTACGTATGTTCACCAAAAATCACGCACTAGAATGTTCACAGCAACACTATCTTTAGTAGCCCCAAATGAGAGTCTCCAAACATCATTTAACAGTAGAATGCATGAATAACTTGCAGTATATCACACAATGGAGTACTATACAGGACTGAGAATAACTACACTCAACGATAAGGATGAACCTCACAACATAATGTTGAGTAAAAGAGTATATAGTGTATCATTTTGTACACAGAATGTTCAAAACCAGTCAAAACTAGCCTATGGTGTTAGAAGTCAGTGCAGTGTTGCCCTTGTGGGGGGAGGTTAGTGACTGGAAGGGACACTGAGGATATCTGGAGACTGTCAATGCTCTGTTCCTTGATCTGAGTGCTGATTTATACAGGTGTGTTCATGGAGCTGTAAACTTATGATCTGCGTACTTTTCAGTATATACGAGGGAACTTCAAAAAGTTCACGGAAAAATAAACTAAAAGATAATATAAATCCTTCCACAAACTGAAGTACCCTCGTCCTTTATGCTCCGTTTAAAATGTCTCAAGAGCTATTTGCTTCTTTCTCTACTACAGGTGTAGGCAGTCAACCGAAGCCATTCTACAAAGTGAGATGCTCTTGAACTTACTTTTTTAAATTTTTCATTTTCCAGGAACAAAAGGTCTACTTTTTGATCATGTACGTAGATTTCATTTTCTAAGTTCTTTAGAATTTCAAAATGATCTTTGACTTTTTTGCTTTCTTGATGTCGTAATTGTTTTAATTCTTGCTTCACTTTGTCCTGCTCAAACATAAAACCGACAAACATTATCAAACATTAACTCCTAGAGTTCAAAGAGCAAGATGCCAGGACAACTTTGTTTTTTTTTTGTTTGTTTGTTTGTTTTTGGTTTTGGTGTTACAAGGCTGGGCTCTAACC